TGGTTCTCTAACTGATGTCAGCTCATGATGAAATCCTGTAACCAATCAAATCCCTACAAACCAACACTTGAATTTGAAGTTCGCCAGAACTTAAAGTTTCCGTCAACTTTAAACATAATCCCTGATTATCAAAATTAGCCTATATTCACCGAGATTATTCTGAATAATTTAATTAACACGACATGTCTATAAATTATTTCACTGAAATATTGAAAACTGCTCTTATTAATGGACTGAAAAAAGAAGTATTTACAACTTCCATTTCGATCTTTGCATTCCTCGAATTTTTTTGAATACCTCCTTATCCGCAAAATATTTTTAAAGCAATATTCACGCCTTGTGATAAACATTTCCTTAAATGTTTTACGTCTTTTAATGGATGGATTGAAGAAGCCAAAATGGTTGTTAGGCTCATGTTAAACCACTAGACTGATACGATGTTGAATAACTTTAGAGATTTGATATGCGATTTGTGAAAACAAAGCACGAACACTTAGTAATCTAGCACACACCCACTGTAAGTAGAAGCATAACTAACTTCTGGCTTCGGTGGTTCAGTGGTGGGACGCTTGCCAACTATGCATGTAGTCAGGGGTTAGACCATCGGCAGACGAACTCCTAAACCTCGCTAATTCGGTAGTGAAGCCCATAAAGAGGGAAAGCTGGACATGAGGCTAGCAACCCCATCTCTGTTAATCAAACCTCAAAGTTCTAGCTTGAAGCCCTACTTTTCACTCGGAATGTAAAGGAAAGAAAAATAACTTCTAGCTTTATTCCTCCAATTGGTTCTATATAAACTACGAACAAACTGAAACACACTAACAAAAATAGTCTTTGATTGAGTAGTAGCCCAAGTTGTTGAGTATCATATTTATGTAATAGGCCGGAGTGATAAAGAATAAGGTTAAACAACTAATGGTTGAGGAATCCTGAGTGGAAAGAATGGGGCAAAGAAATAACTGTGACAATACAATTAGGATGAATACATCTGTGCTATTGCAAGTTATTCTGAGACATATCACCCTAAATTTGCAAGCATAGGTCCCATTTGTTTTGCCCGACCGATAGCTGCTACCTTGACGTGGTGGTCGGGCTTGCACATCGCGATGACCCAACAAGCTACACTGGCTGGAACCAATGTTCCCGCACGTCCTACCATGCCAGGAAGGTCGTTAGGATAGTGATTAGACTAAAAGCAGTTACCGGCATAGTGTTAGAATCTTTCTTACACTATGCTGGGGGTCTGTGGGCGAAGTCGTACTGCTGGGGAACAGGGATGTAACAGCAGTAAGGTGTTTCCCTCAGATGACCAGCATGTCAGCTATGCTGTCTCTCCACTCTGGAGAGAGGGGATTAGAAAAGGTCGACCCCAACAATTGTACATCCCGACTTACCCTACGGTGGTCCGTAACCGGCGGTAAGTTTACTAATACGGAACCAAGCCAAGAAACCAGTTCATACAGGCCGTGTGTGACCGGCCTCAAGCAGCTGTCCCCTGGGCTCTGCGGTCACGCAACACTAACCCTCTTTCTTTTTCAGGTACCCGAAGAATCAATCAACTTCCACGGTGTGGGCAGCCAGGAAGTAACAACCGCCCACACACTTCCAAAAGCACACGAAGCCTTCCTGAGCACCATTCTCCTCTACCCACATCACCTTCAACATCTTATTCCCCTACTACAGTTAGTGCTATTCTTCAGGTTAGTGAGGCACCTTCACTTCACTCTGTGACCACAAATAACGATAAGAGCCATAGAAACACCCCAGACAGCCTTTTAAAGTCACGTCGCCAACTTCATATAGGAGCATTTAACGTCAGGACCCTCTGCCAAATCGGACAACAGGCATCACTAGCAAGACCATTTGTTTTGAATACCCAGTTAGCTAGTCTGCACTTCTCCACATGGCTTAGATAAACAGTCAATAATCTTATGGGGTGGTGTCATGTATTGGTTTGACTAGCCGCTTTTTCCGTTAATCTAATCCTACTTCCATACGTTAAGTTGTGTGATGTAAGACATTTCTGAACCTCAGAAGCTCTAGTGGTTTAGTTGACTTTCAAACCAGATGCGAAAGGTGAAGTACATGAATGTATTAACCTACTTATTTGATTAATTGCATCAGATCTAATGAACTCGTTGCTGACAAAATTTCAACCTGGACAGAAACTTACTGAATCATTCCTGACACCTAACAAGTCCACTTTGTTCTACTCTGTATAATCTGAGTGTGAAACACATAAGGCTAAAAAATCAAAGACTCCCAGTACTAAGTTTTTTTCCGTAAAATCACTTGATCATTGTGAAACTACAAAGTAATTAGTAGTGAAGGGCTAGATAAATGAGGAAGGAAAGTGGATTCACAGAGTCGGGAGACTTCCCTGTTGACATAGCTGAGATATTTATGTAACTGTAGAACCTGAGTACTTGTCTCTTTGGTATAATTGTGACCAACAAATGGTGGAAAAAATGAAAACAATAATAATGAATTTTGTCTGAACTCAGTTATCCGGAACAGGTATTTTATGTACCAGGATATAAGTCACATCTGTGTAGGCTCGGAAGTAGGTGAAGTGATATTAGAACCCGTGACTCATTTACTGAAATCCAAGTGCTTAAGACAGTGAGCCACAATAACACACAGTAAACTTGCTAAGAAATTACCACTCAGGTACGACTAGGATAGTAAGAAGCTGACGGTCACTCGATCAAAGTGCAGCAAGAAACCATGATGCCCTCAGTTGTGCTCAGAATCAGCTAATGCAAACTTTTGATAACGGTTCTATATTGGTCACAATGACGCAGATATATTTAATGTCGCACTGGAAATTTCGAATATTTTCACTAATAACATTACATTAGACTGTATGTTATTTTTTCTCAAATGACTTCCTTTCTGTGCTGCTGATAAACAATGACCAATGGTTCTCGATGAGGCAGTATGTGTTATTTAATCAATACAACTACCATAAAATGATCTAAATTACTAATAAAAACGGAAAAACAGTACTAGAACACTTATAATAAAAAGCTGTAGCAGTACGAGATAACACTTATTTAATTCCATGAACGAAAAAAAGCTTCAAGCTGAAAACTAGAGCAAACATATATGGAAACAATGACTGGAGGTAGATTACATGGGTAATAATTAGCAGCGTTGGCACAGATACATTCATATCAGCTGGAAGCGAGAGGAGAGGAAGTCCAAGATCGTGTTCAAACGTATATACAGAATTGCTGGAAATAAAATGGCTCGTATGGCATTTGCCAACATACACCATCTCTTGCATAGACATGATATCCGGCTGTCGACCAAAGCATGTATCTACTATTCAGCAGTTAGCTCCGTTTCCTTTTATGACTGTGAGGCATGGCTACTGAAAGTGGAAGACATGAAAATCCTAGCTGTCTTTGGTCATAGGTATCTGCTTCCTATCTCCCATGTTAGGTGGTATAATATGGTGATTAATATTGAGGTTAGGCGTCGAGTGCCAGGTAAGGTGGGAAAATCAATCGATGAGGTTTTGAAACTACATCATTTCAGATGGTTAGGTTATGTGTTACGTATGCCTAATCAACACCTGCTTCGACGGGCGATGTTAACTGAAGTAAGATCAGGTTAGAAAATAGCTAGTAGTGGTCAAACCAAAACATTGCTTCACCGGTCCATGAAATCTTTCCAGTTAGTATGAACCGTGTAGGGAGTTGTAGACTATCTGGTTGGCGCCCTCGGGATGGTAAGAACCAATGGTTGGAGACAATTGATGATATGGCTCGAAATCCTCAATGAAGCTGATGCATTCACTCTTTGCTGTTTGTCATATACATTAAACCCAATTGTTATTCCTTCACATTTCTGCTTATTATAGTTCTTTTGAATCATTTTTTCTCTCTTTTGTTTCCCTTTATGTGATTTACGGAGTGGGGTAACTCTAACTGCTGCACTTTAGTGCAGCCAGCTGGAAGTAAAAAAAAAACAAATGACCAAATAAAATTGGTGGTCGACTTAGTCTGGGGTGGACAAATGGAATGTCCTGTAAGACATGTAGGTGATGAAGTAATAGGAAGAAACAAAATCATATAGTCTCTTCTGAAGGCAATCATAAAGAAGATAAAGAGCAATAATATTTCTTTGATATTGTAGTCAACAACTAATCTGACTGTAATTTTACAAACCACAAAAGCATGAACGTGATAGTCTTATTCATGATGAAATTGCAAAAGAGTAGAAAATCTATGTTGTGAGATTAATTCTAATGTACTAGCATTAGGAATTACTACCAACTTGCACAATAAACGTAAACAAACAGTATCTTTCCCTTTTTTAACTGTACAAAATTTCCAGAATTCAGAGTGACATCAAATAAGAAATTCTGAAAGCAAGTCAAGAACAGTTATGAGTTAATCTCTAATCTACGGTCCTACGTCACAGCCCAGAAAGAACACGACAGCAGATAAAGGCTCAATAACTTCATAATTTATCCCATCTAGATGCTAAAAAAAAAGATGCTAGATGGTCCGGCCGCTTGACCTTCAACCAATGAGTCACGATTTCGAAAGCCACCCAATATGTGAGCAACTAGGTAGCACTTACACGATAGGTATGGCTCACTACCAAATGTATGGGATTGCAAGTGGCTGCTGGGAATCATTACATTTAACTTCTTTCCATTTGAAAATCTCATCGAACACGTTAGACGGTTAATCAATAATTTTATTACTAAGCAGACTAAGCATACTGAAACGTATCCGGGCAGTTCTGGAATTCCTATGTACCTTCAGCACGAATTCGAAAGTAATTTTGGTGAGAAATAATATATTCTTGACTTTGAAATATTCTCATGGACGTATTAACTTACTGAACTGAGCCACCATTAGGAAAGCTAAAATGTATAGCGAGCGTGCGCATAGGTATTTGAAAGCGATTTCGACCGGAAAAAAACAGCAAGTCGTTAAGTGCATTTATTTAAAACTTCTTTACATCTAAAGGTTCATTAAATCTTACTAAGTGTTTGTATACTTCAACGTCTGTAAATTCCTCTTCTGAAATAAATAACGGTGTCCCTCTGACTGTGATGCTGGCCATAGTGAATGCTGGTTCGGCATACTTCACTTCCTCAGCAGTAAATTCCAGTTTTTTATTAGTTAGTAATATTCCTTTCATGTAAGCAGTGAATATCCTACTTTTTTTGTTGTAATATAATTTTGTAACATGACTTCGAGTTAAAATATGCAACAATAAGGGAGTAGAGAGTGAGAAGACAATACCACCAAATAACGCAACACCAAAAACTTTTGGATTTGAGATGTTTGTAAATAATAACGGTTGAAGTAAGAAGACAGTCGAACTGGACATCAGAGAAAAAGTTTTGGCTCCCAAAACAATTCTGTTATGTGGGCTTTTATACACCAGAGACCCTCTACTTTCATCCTCAAGTTGAGAACTACTAAAATTATTTGCATTCTTTTTTAATATAGATACGTGGGGCCTTATATTGTACACGGGGTGTGAACATATGTTAAGAGCACCTAAAATATGAAACTTCGGAAGAAAGAAGCGCATTGTTCAAAATTACGCCACTTCGAATGACTTGACCAGTATCCAATAACTTTGGTGAACTTGTTATATCTTGGCCTTTTCTTCTTATCATCACAGTGCGGCTCTAGATCTTTGACAGATTTGGTACGATCTTTCCGCTATTCATGCTCGTAGCTACTGCAGTCTTGCTGAACATTATAAGAAGAGGTACACTAGTTTATGTGTAGTAACTATATAATTCGTACAAGGGTAGTGGCTCTGCTTAGGCTCAAACACTTCGTTTCGCCGATCAGCACCTATTTCATTCCAAAAAACACCTTAGAGAAGGCGGCACTAAGTGATCTGAGGGAAAAATCTATAGGATGAGTAGACTGGAAGAGTGCAAGCTCAATATATAATATATCCAAGTTAGGGCATCAATAGTGGGTGTAAGACATACATGTGCGACAAGGTTCATCGGTCATTGGTACTAAAGGCATCAATGCAGGTGGCAACTACATATGTCATCATTTATGCAGCTAGCATTCAGAATAGTCCATTTGGACTTCGTCATTTTTTACACCATCCAGAATGCTGTCCCCCCTGATGCACTTCATGTTCAAGTTTGCCCGCATAATATTATCAGCTTAGGTGTTACTGGCCAATGTAAATCTCGACACTGCCCCTCGGTGATGTAGGACAGTTTTCCTGTTTTAATGATGTAGATTAGTGCAGGAAGATTTATCCTATAGATGATTGGAATAAGGCCTATAGTGCTAATCGTCAAGCAGTGGTATTAAACACAGAGCAAAGCGCACTTTCTAAGGTGATCACACAAGTGCCAAGTGCCAGTAAGAACGAGGACTCACAGTCAAGGACTACATTTACAACCAATCATATTACCACTGAGTGAGTAGGGAACAGTCTTTCTGTTGGTCATCCGTCGTATCGGCTTAGGAGACCAACCCATGCACGCCACACAGCCGACCTTAATTCAGACAAGTATTCAGTTTAAAAATAAGAATATTGCCAGGCCTGACACTCCTTATAGACCTAATAATTGTATCTCCGTTCAGAAGTGGCCTTGTTAAGATACACGACAACTATATGTGGATAAAATTTAATATTATTTGTTTACTATAAGTGTCATATTTTTAGGGAACCGCGACGCACGTTATTCTTCTGTGACGTCTGAATATTGTTCACTGAAGTTAGTACAAGTTGTTTTGGTGACTCTAAACTTTAGCAGCCCAAAACAACCTTGAGAACGGATGAATGACCTTGAGTAGGCAATCATCTGACTCGCAATGGATGCCGTACATCGTTTGCGGTGCAAATTCGCTCCAGAGTTTGTTTTTGATTACTGTTTAGAGAACGAGCTGATAGCGAGATCGAAAACTTGCCAGTGCGGAGGTGTAATGCATATACAAAGATACACGAGATGCATCGACGGTTATGTTTACCGTTGCAGGGAGCGCAGATGCAGAAAATCGGTCCGAGAGGGTATGTCGTTATTTTTTAGTTTATAGATTCCTTAGATACATTTTCCTCGAAATCTCATTTACCTCTAACGAAGATAGTGATGATGTGTCACAACTGGGCTCTGAGAAGACCAGTAACAGCAATGGCATATGAGACTGAAGTGTCAGAAGTTTCTGCAGTACAGTGGTACCAATACTGCAGAGACGTGGTGTCGTGGCAAAAGAAAAGACTGACCCAAGTACTCGGCGGAGTTGGTGTTACTGTTCATGTGGATGAGACGGTGTTAATAAAAAGGAAATATAATAGAGGGAGAATGACTTCAAATCAACAATGGGTGTTGGGCATATATGACACCAACCTACACAAAGGATATATAGAAGCGATTCCTAATCGCAGTGCGAATGTATTGTTGCCCATTATCTAACGTTTAGCGCTGCCGGGAACAACAATACATACGGATGAGTGGGGTAGTTACAGTCAATTATCAAATCTCGGCTATGTTCATGAAATTGTCAACCATGCAACCGGATTCATAAATCCTTTCAATGGAACTCATACTAATTCCATTGAAAGTTTCTGGAGTCATCTCAAAAAACGGATAAGATCGGTGAACGGATCAAGAAATCTAATGATTTACAGTTATCTCGACGAGTTTATGTATAGGACTTGGTTTAACATGACTTTAAAGATTCCTATGTCATATTGGGACGTTTTTTTGCAACATATACGAGAACGCTATCCTTTGTAACTATTTTTTAATATTGCTTTACTTGTATATAAACGATTTCTTAAAATTATGCGCCGTTCATTTTAAGCCTTCTGATTGGTTAAAGTTGTCCTTGTCAAGGTCATTTGTCCGTTCGTAAGGTAGTTTCCGTTTGGGCTGCTAAAGTATAGAGTCACCGTTGTTTTATCACCCGAATGTTGAATCATAACTTCCGCTTTACAGCTTCCTTCCACTGACCCTCAATTTCATTTTATGGCTTTCATTATGGTTGCAAGTGTTTTTAGGGTTTTTTTTGTCAACTATGCACCCGCTCACTTTTAGTTAGCCTTAGGAGTGTGTTCATGATGTTATTATTCGCATAATATTATATCGCTTTGACACACAACTATTCGGAAGATAACATTTAATTCTGACGAAGAATTTGTCTCCCTTACTTCCTTGTACTAATATTTCTTGACCTGAGTTTACGTAAGCACGGTTGGATCAGATGATAGATAGCTTTCTATAGCCCCTGTGGTGTAATTGTTCCCGCAAAATAACACCTCCAGAATAATTCCTATCATATGTGGTTTTTAGTGGGTCGAGTATGCTTGCCTGAAAACTTTGAAAGAGATCATGGAACGGTTGACAGTTTATTGCAGACTAGACCACTAGGCGTAAGCTGCAAATCCTTCCTGCTTTACTCAGTTTTCAGCCGTCAGTGCAGTAGTCGGATGATATCTATTACTGTTCTGATTTCAACACTAAATTGGGGGGCTACTGTACTAATTCATTAGAGTATGTGGGTTATTTGGTTGAGACTGTTGAAAAAGCTTGTTTGACACATTAAACATTAAATATGTCAGTGAAAACTTCTTGTTATTCCTAGAACATAAATGTATATTCATCCAACACAAGGCTAAGGTAAAAAGGTGATCGAGAAACCTACGCAGTGTATCAACTGCTATAATAGTACCCCTTGTTACGCTTTCTTTTGTGTTGAACCTTACATTACTATCACCAGTAAGCAGCATGAGTTTATGCTTCATCGCTTTATAAAAATGACCAATATTCGCAGTCGAACTTTACATCATTCAATGCATTAATATTCTATTTGCAACACAGTCGCCATCTCTTTATAGTATCTATTGGCGATAATAATAGTAATATATAATAATAAAACAAGAACAAGATACGATGCCGCACACAACAAAGTTATATGGAGGAATTGACTTCAAGCTTTATTTTTCCCAAATATTTGTAATTTATCCAACTTATACTTGTGTTTTTTTGTTAATGCGAAGACAATATTTCTATATTTCTTAATGTGCTCCACTGAACGACTAGCTATCAGATTGTACTCACTAACTAATGTCAGAGAGGACAGCAACCATGTAATTTCACCATAGATCAAATTCATGTAATGTAAATAATACTTATCCATGCCTGTACAACTGCTGTGTCCTACATAGATAGGAACAAATATAATATATGATATATATCCCCATTTGTTTGTATATTAGGGAAACCAGTTTACAGGCATCACCAATGTGTTAGATTGTAAGTGAAGGAAGTAGGGATATTTACTGTTATTCGAACAAGCAGCTATAAACATAAGAAAAAGAAATGGAACCATATCGATAAAGTCATTACAGAGAAGTAGAAGTAACCCTGGCCACTGTCATTGATTAAATTCGTCCAAAGGCGAGTAATAATCAGAGGTTCAGATACAAATAGTAGAAGTGGTACGTTACTCGAAAAATCGTAAAATGTTTGGTGAGGGACCCTAATTAGTTTGCTGGTGACGTCTACAGCAATATTAACTGCAAGCTGCTCACCAAGGCAGTCAGAGTCCAGTTGAACCAATGAAGAAGTTTAATTACTTCTGCAGTAATCAGGGACAAGTGGTTTTCAGTACATATGCAGTTAAGGACCAGAACAATGGGGAACCAATCGTGCACTCACTTAAATATATATATGTAAAAATTTGGTGACAACTTGTTTATAGTTTAAAGAGAGATGCTTTGGTGAATAGGAAAGAGGATGGAATAGAAAAGTGGATGCGTTGATAAGAAACATAGGCTGGCTAGTTTACTCATATGCTGAGGCAAAACAAAATCGGCTAAGCATTTCGAAGACGGGGGTTGAGCAGTTTCCTGAAATTGTTACTTCAATGATTGACTTAATGTTACATTTGAATTACTACTGAAAGTAAACCACATCTTGTTAGGCTATTCAATTACAATGGAACCACTGTATTAGTTCGCCACTAACTTAGCAGTAGGGCATTTACTTTCAGTTTTGAATCACTAGGTAGAAGTGGATTTCCCAAGAAGTTCCATGAAAAAAGATTATCTTGTAGCCAAAGAAAATAAATATGTTCACATCTCCACGAAAAAATTAAGATCACCAGAGCGTCTGGAGCTGCGTTTCTTACTGCCACAACACTAGCTGCCTCACCATTCACAGTCACTTTTCAGAGTAAAAGACCCACCAGAGAGGGTTTATTCCTGATTTCTAAATGTCGCGACGCGCCATGAGGGAAGGACCATATCCATAGGTTTATAAGATTAGATTTGTGATATTAACTCAAAACGAAATGCCTAAGGTTCGCAGCCACAGAATATACTATTCTACGATCTATTCCTAAAATCGTGTCAACCAACGTGATGCCAATTAGGATTAGAGAGGGAAAACCAATGGTAATAGGGAAGTTTGTTTAAGGTCTTCTCTCGATGAGTATTAAAGCAGTATACTTTCCTATTGGTGCTATTTCGACGAATCTCTTCCGTACAACCAAAGCACCCAAACGCCAATTAAGTTTCCAAGACCTCGGTTGTGTTTCCCCTTTATCAGA